GGGGTTCACAATTTTCACTCATATTACCATTTACATAAGCAGATTGGGTTCTCATTAAGTATTGTGAGGTAGGTGTATACCAGATCCCGATTTATTTGCTGTGTGGAAAGGAGATATAAACTGAGACTGATTTGTATACTTTCATGGTTAGAGTTGAGGTTRCGAAGAAGCCCGGCTTGCTTACAKCCCTATACAAGAGAATAAGAGTATGTTCTATTTAAAGGCAATCTACATAATTTCATTCCTCACCTGTTCTGTGCTCCAAAATTCAAACCACCATGATAGATACCAGCTCCAGAAAGCCAAGCAAAATGCACTGCTCTTCTTTGTTTGATGAAAAAGTGCAGCTCACTGCATGATAAGCAAAATGGAAGCAATTATCACATTAGGGAAAAAAAAGCATTAATAGAAGGATATATGAATAGCATCTCTCCCCCTATATTTGGTGGAAGAGGGTGATGATTATCGAGGTGGACCATTGTATGTCCCAAAAAGGAGGACTTTATTACTTGTACATTAATATATATAAGGGAAATTATAACGGGGTGAGATTATAAATAATCAACTATAAGAAGAAAAGAACAAAAACAATAATGACTCATCCAAATAAAGCTATAACAATCAGAGCTATAGCTATCAACTAATTAGAGCCTTTGAAACATCAGCACTGTCGTTCTCCTTGGCTTCAGACATCTCCTTGAACTTCAGACATCTCCTTGAACTTGGGCACAACATCTTCAGTTTGAGAAACCTTTTTAATGTGTGATAGCTAAATGTTGATAATTAGGGTTCTTTCTAGTTTACTTTTTGATAGTTTCCTCAAAAAGCGTAGTAGYAATATCTAATCTTGTATATTTMTTTTTATTAAAATAGAAAAAATTGGATTACCTACTTTGTACACGTCTCTTTGAACCCTAACCATCATTTTCGAACTTCAGTGTTATTTGGGACCTATTGTGAACCCTAGCCACTGTGATTTCGAACTTCAACTTCATTTCCAAACATCAAGTACGACCCCACAATCACCTGATTAGAAGTCAGACATCTTTCAGGCGGTCACATCATTCACATGTTTTCATTGTAAGATTTGTTCCTCTATCGCCATTTGCCTTGTGCGATTTGTCACTTCCTGGATATTTGTTGTTGAATGTGGTATCACTCCTTATGYGAWWTGTTTAGTTCTTGTGCTTGCTGCTTTGTCACTTGTACTTGTTTTTTGGTGCTTCTGTAACTTGTACTCTGCTGAGTTTTGTTGAGACTCAAGACATTATGGAGGAAAACAAAACTACTAGCATGACTAATGTGATGGATGTGGTGTCTGGGTGTTCAAAATCATGGACCATAAACTAAATGGTTCAAACTACTTGGAAAGAAGTAAGACAGGTTGTCTTTAGCTACGAAGTATTGATAAAGATGCCCATTTGACTAATGATCCATTGGTACTRGTTCCAAGCCAAYGGATGATSTGATATKGGCTCGGAGAGGATGCTTGTTTATTCCTTCATACTTGAAACTCTATTGATAGTGAAGTAATAGTCGATCAATCACTGTGAATTTGTTAAGGAACTAATGGATTATTCTGAATTTTGATATYTGGCAAAGGGAATCTCTTCGGCATGTATAAGGTTGCAAAGCTTTTTCATCGTGCAGAAAACAAGACGAGTCACTTATAAACTATTTTATGGGGTTCAAGAAGACATATGGGGAGCTCAATATGTTCTCTCCTTTTAGTCTTGATGTGAAAGTTCAACAAAATCAGCGAATGGGTTTTCCTGGGAACGTTTGGTCCTGTTGTTGCGTTTAAGTCCTGATGTGAAACTGCCTCTCTACCCCTAGGGTGGAGGTATAGCATACATCTTAAGATCCTCATACCCTACTTCCAAGTGGGATTTCCTGGGGGTTTGGTTTGGTTTGGTTTGGTTTGGTTATACAAGCATGATATACAAGTCTACGGCGTAGGTAGTCTTAAGAGATGCTAAAGACCGGCGTAAATGAACCAAATGCTAAGAGMAAATTTGGAGCTACTCATAAGTTCTCACGAAATTATAAATTGAGAGAGAAACAACACTATCATAGCATAACCATATAGCATATAGAGCACTTGCCTATTTGGTATTTCTCCAGGAAGCTCCATAAAATGCACCGCTCGTTCGACGTAACTAGCAAAGACAGTCTAAGTTGAAAATAAAATGGTTTAAATCAGTTTATCAACAACGTTAGTAAAGAAAATTAAGCATGTTATATGAGGAGAATTATTTACTACCAGAATCCATTTCTTATTATATGGTTCAAAACCAAGTTCCAAAATTATACCAGTTAATGCATCCACATACAATTAGCATTTGGATTAACGTCCAAAGCTATGCTACATTCATCTAATGATCCATACAGAACCAACGAACTTTAAGAAAGGAAAGTTGTACATAATTCAACATGTGATTTTGTGACGGACTGTCATTCCATTTACTGTTACCTCCCTCCAAAATAAGCGTCCACATTTCTATTTATGTTTGCCCCAAAATAAGTGTCCGCCTTCAGAAGTAAAAAAACCAAATTCTCAAATTTACCCTTAATTAATGCACAAATATTTAAGAGTTGTGAAGAGAGAGATGTGAAATAAGGGTAAAGATGTCATTTTGGTTAACAAAAAACTGTAATAATTATGAATGCTTAAAACTGTGTGCCATTTCAATTGTAGACACTTATTTTGGGACAGAGGCAGTACAATAAAAGTGAGGTTAATTTCATATAGATATTCATCTTTTTTGTTCTTAAAAAAAGAAAAATACRACGAGTTTGGACCATAAAAACAGGTGATTTAATATCATTAGCAAGGAACTCACTTACAGGCATACTCAATTGACATTATATCTTTTACTTGCTTCAGAATTGCTATTTACTGGACTCTCCTACAATATCATCACATTTCAGATTTCGCTATTCAAGCTATTTGTTTGTTTATTTAAAGAGAACAAGATCAAGTATGAAAAAGACTATTGCCATTTCATTAGACACAAGTAGAGAAAATAATCAACACTGAAATGAGACTTCAAAACCAATGCTTGAAGACTACCCCCCTAAACTTAGAAACCTTGATAAAGTATTTTTGCATGCCTCCCAGCCACTAATACAAATGCATAAGTACCAAGAGGCATAAGCATCAATTAACAAAGTATCAGCTGCTCGATGRCATGCAATGAGTTAATAAAGATGACTAAAGTATAAAGACATGTACAGATAMAAAGGGCACCAAAGCGAAGAACCTATGATCCCACATCCAAACAAGAACCAATTGTTGACTTACCTCCAGCAATCCGATGCCAGTAAAAGAATAAAGCCTTGTCGGAGTTACTGCCATCACATAGTATCTAGTTCCATTGTTCAAGCTAGCTGTTTCCATCTGTAGAACAGAGAAGAAGAGTAAAAACAAGCCACATACCCTAGTTATCTAAGGATAGGCAATTTACAGGCACTTTAGAGCCTTTTAGATTAAGTTAAAAAAAAATAGGAAACAATTTCTAATTCTAAAAGAATCAAAAATCAACTGTTGTCTTACTTGGAATTTAGATGCATTAACGAATCTACATAATCTGACAAGTACAAAGATGTTTATTTATTCACTAAAAATTCTAGCAATTTCTGTTTACCAGGTTAAAACCAATGGATTGTAATTAGATATTTCATAGATGTGTATAAATAATATCTAGTACCAACTGTTATGTAGAAGAAAGCACCAATTATCAGCATAAGGAGTTTTCTCCTTGGATGGCTGAAGAAAAACGATTTGAAGTTTGAATATGATAAAATTATAATATATGGGAGAGGTATTAGTAAAATAAAATAGCACATAATTTTTATTTAGCTTCCTTCCTGAAAAAGAATAAATCTTTTGTACTTATAACTCAAGTTGGATAATTCTCAAATATTTTAAGAATTTTTCTTTGAGATATTTTTTCATTGAGTGGTCTTTAATCCCCCCCCTTTTGTGATGCATCAGCAAATAAGACTCCTCAAGAGAATAAATAAAGTTTAGGAAGTTAAGACACCTGTAACCCCTCAAAAGCTTCTGGCAATTCAGATAGTTCAAATAGAAACTTTATGTATTTCTCCCTTTTATCTTTCTCATCAACAGCAATTTCATGCAGTTGGCCATTCTCTGTACCAAGAATAACTTCTCGTGTTGAAGCTGTTTTAACATCGGAAACAAAGGAGAGTACATGTGAACAAATACGTGAAAGTGAATATCGATGTCAATAAGGAATGATTAAAATACTAAGTAACCACCTTCTGTTATCTGTTGTCTATTCCAGGCAACAGTATTCACCACAAGGCCTTTCAGTTTGGCCAACACCCTGGGCTTTGACCATTTTGCATGCATATAATATGTATCAGAAACTCCAGTACCAACAACGGTCGCAATACAATGACTCCCACCAGGATCAACAAAAACTCTGTGGATGGATTGGTCCCCAGGCCGACCAGTAGAGAGATCAATATCTATAGAATATTAATTATAAAATATACCTGATTAGTACTTTTCATAAGATAGTTGAACGTAAAGTCAGAGAAATGAGGTGTATCATGGCCTGTTYAAGCTTAGCCCAACAATTTGGCACACATGCTCAACCAATAAGAACCTACTTCAATAGTCAAGTCCAAAGGCATCTTGATAAAATTAGTAAATGAAAAGAAACAAACAAACAAAGTCGGTTTTGGTTATCTCAGTTCAGCATCATCACACGTCAACTTTATAAAATAAGAAATGAGAAGTGTTCCCACATTAGAAGAAAAGAATAGAAAAATACCTCTCTTAGGAAAGGAAAAAGCGTCCAAGCCACAAAATGGGGATCAAAATTCAAACATGAAACATATGAAGATGGTAGCATTGGAATTATAGCATTTACCACATACACATATGACAAATCGCATCTCGCTACAATCTTTTTTGGATCCTTTGCTTCTCTTTTGCCCATCAGTTACTAATGTAAATATGCAATATTATAAACACATCTATTGATCAGCTAATACATTCTCTATTCTTGGAACATTCTAATCTAATGCTATATAGCATCCAAAATCGGGGGGGGGGGGGGGGACTAGAGGGGAAGACGGATAACTTAATGACCTGTTATCCATTTCATTTGATTACYTGATCCCTTCCTTAGTAATACATCTCAGTTGCCAACATGCCAACATTGCCACTTCCAATACATATAACAAAAACTTAACTCAATCAAATCATAATGGTTTATATTTGAATAACACAAAAAGATCAATCCAGTTTTATAAACTTTCACAATTTGAAATCAAACACAATCAGTTAAAAAATAACCAAAAACCACCCGTTCATGTGTACTAAGTAGCAGGTCATTGAAACTATTTAACTAAAATAACTTYGTCAAGCAGAAAACAAAAGGAAGAGACGAGCAAAAACAAMAAGGTAGGCAATTATGGAAAGAAGATCGAGATTACCATATGAGTCACCACCACCAAAGTCATGCCTGATTAGCCATCCAGTACTAGTTCCTAAAACAATGACATCATTTCCGGATGCCATGCAAGTAATAACTCCATGACCTTTTGCTGCATATCTCTCTAAAAGATCTACCGTAAATACCTGCCGTCTGAAGTCCATCTTCTCCGTATTACAATTTCCAAAACCTAAAAGTTTAAGTAAGAAAAACCARGAGCTTAGAGTTCAGTATTACAAGAAAAATGTAGAGTGCCATGATTATTTTTCAGGAAAGTTGATTMAAGTATTCCTACCTAAGTTCCAACTTCCAAGTAAGCAAACTGGCATTTGAATGCCAAACAYACCACATCTATTAGCATATAAATTCAATTTCTTTGCAAAAARTAACAAATTCATTGCAGAGCATGAGTGCTCTTCTAGGTTCATAATTAAAACCACCCAAGAGAAATCTGTTGTGTACACAAATCTGCTCTCGATCAAGTAGAACTTATCATTTTTTATTCCTTATCCCTGACTTGATCTTCACTCATGTGATCAAGAATCATTGTAGGCCATTAACATTAACACTAAAAAGGCAACATATTTTCACTTATTTAAGAAAGGTTTCCAATTATWTAATTACTACTAACCTAATCTGAATCTTGATTCCTTGGGTTGTCAATTGAAATTTAAAGAACCGAAAGACACCAAGAAAAGGAGATGGGTTATCTTCAACGGGGTTAGYAGAAGAATTTTCAGGTTAATCAAGCTTCCATCACACGTTCTACTTCAAATTGAGCATGTGTTGTTCATTGATGAATTTTACCAAACAGTTGGTGCTCATAGAAGAAAATCATAATCATTTATGTAAATCACGAATTTTAAACAATTATTTATATAACCCATAAAGGATTGCAACAATGGAGACAAGCAAATTCCCAGTACAGTAATTAACGAATAAAAGTAGGAGGTAAACAAACACCCCTAATATTCTCCATTTATTAGTTTGTTCTGACAACGTAACAGTCTCTGCCAATGAGCTGTACAGCAGAAAGGTGAAAGGGAAGATAATGCATTGGCAAGTGAGTTTTTGGATCAAAAAYTACTTAACACCCTGGGAGCAAAGCGAAGCGACTTCTCTCACTGTCTTTCTCATTTATGCTAAWTGTTTCTAAAGGAAATTATCACTGATCACCAATTCTTTTCTCTATTTGATAAAAATATTTCATCTTATTCCCCATACACGCTGTCATATGTATACGTTGGCTTCCATTTTGCATCAGATAACATCGACAAAACTAAAACCAAGCCAATGTGATTCAAGTTCCACTCAAGTCTTAACCGAGATCGAGTCTCCTCRTCCAATYGGATAWKGCTAGCACCTTGAATCTGGGCTTAGTCAACCACTTGAAACTAGAAGTAATGTGACAGAAACTGTAACTATACAACTACAAACTGATATACAGACCAACGAGAGTAGAAATTTTTTCCAAGCACTCTCAGTTCCCATAGTCACTGCTGATGAGCACAACAACGCATCAGAGTTGGGAGGCTATCACAACAGAAGATCAGGAAGAAAAAGASACCGCTAARATTGAATCCTCCAAAAGGTAAACCAAATAATGATGAACGGGTTAAAGTTATTGCCTCTAAAGAGGCTTCTGGAAATGAGCAGACCACAATGTAGTGGAAGCAATTCCGGCTCAAACCGAAGGTTCTAGGTTTGATCAAGGGGTTCGAACAAGRATATAGAAGYAACAGAGTTTTACAACAACGATAAAAGCATGGGTGGTTCTCCTCTTCATGACTWGAGGAATTTGATCAGTGAATGTATCATTTATGCATGGGGMATTCTCCTCTTGATTTATGCATGGGAATTTTAATTCATGTCTAAACAAGATATCTTTGGGGCATTTTATCAAACACCTGATTGTCAATTTAAATCGTCATATATGACCCTTTTCAAATTGAAATATATCCAAATCAATCAACTATAAAAAGATTATATGGGTTGAATTCAAGATATAGCAAAATACAACAAGTAAGTACAACCTAGTCCAAGTAACTTCAAATCGATCAATTATAAACACAAATAGGAATCAATGTTTTCTCTTGATGAAGAGAAGTAAAACAGAGGAAGGAAGGAAGTAATAGGAATGATTTGACATATAAGGTTTATATGCATCCATATTGTTTCTGAATGTTGCTTATAAGTTTCTGATATATATTAATTACAAAAGAGCTTATGCATATGACAAGAACTAGAACAATTTGTGGTGACACTCGTGAAATGGTGTAAACAAAAATGGAGATACAGCGACCATACTCTATTACT